GAGACTTTGGATTGGGAGCTCCATCCTACAACTGGACTCAGGACCTCTCTACTACAGTTTCTTGTTGCAGCCAAGTTTCAGACTGAAAATGTCAGTGGCTGAAGATAAACTAAAGACAGGGTTTTGGAGAATCTCTCAGGCATGTTTTATGTGGTACCAAGCCAGGCCCCAAAGCACAGAGTATGAGATAAACAAACTGGGAGGTCTGTGGGTTTGAATGGTGTTTATGACATCTCAGAAAACTCTTTTGGAGGTTCAGGCAGCATTTTAAATCTTAGAGTCTAGCAAGGATCTTTACCCTGCTGCAGGCACATGTGTAATGGCACCTCAAGGCTTCCCACTTAGCAACAGGATCAAAGCAAAAAGAGCTCCTCAGTGGAGATTTGCACCAAACTCTTCTACCAAGGCTTCTGTCATGGTTTGGAGTGATCCAGCCTCTCCCAAGCTCCTGAGACTGCTGCAAGCATTCCCTGTAAACAGGCAGTAGTTAACATTCAGCCTTGCAACTGAGGTGTTTGGTGGTGATGGGTCAGACCTGTCGTGAGCAATTGTTTGTCTTCCCTGACTGGATAAGCATGCAAACAGAGTTAAGGAAACAGAATTGTCCAAAGCCCACAGGTTTGCTCTTATTCATTTTAGTGAGAACTACTGATGGTAAGTCTCAAAAGTCTGTTAGAATAGAGGTATTAAGGATGAAGTTTCTTTCTTTCTTTCTTTTTCTTTTTGGGTTTGGTTTTTTGTTTGTGTTTTTTTTTTTTAATTTATAACCCTATATTGAGCCTGACAAAAAAATGGTCAGCTTTAAAGTTTTGATTACATACCCCATGAAAATTTTATTTAAAGGGACCATATTTTAGCATTTTTCAGATTCTGCTGAAGGGTCACATTAAAATTAGTTTCTGTAAGCAGAGCAACATGCATCTCTGAAATTCATTTTCACTGAATATTTTTATATTCAGGTAAAGCTTCCTCCCACACTGAAATCACACTGCACAAGCCTGGCCTCAGCAAACTCATTTACAAAAAGATGCAAATCAGGGTTTCAAATGCGGATGGTGCCTGTCAGTACACAGAGGTTTGACTGTCAGAAGGTGCATATTCCTTGTTTACACATAAATTAAAATCTGTTCACCCAGGAGAGCTTTAAAGCTTTCAGAGTCACACGGTGACAAGGAGAAAGCATTGAATGTTCAGGCTGGGAGGGGATACCCCCAGCTGTTGGCAATTCACAGGCAGCTCACTCCAGCTGGGAGGGGGGACCTGCACCTTTGCCAGTGTGACCCCCTCAGCTGGGACAGGCTAAAAGAACAGAGCCAAGCAGCTCCAGCAAGCTGAGAGGGGAGTGCTGCCAGGAGCAACCAGCCATTGTGAAGGGGGGCTAAAAGGCAAAAGGGGATGAAAGTCAGGATGAAATTATTCTTTAGCTATTTCTTTTCAGTAATGGTTATATTTGATTTCTTTTTTTCCTCTGTAGAAGATGCCAGCTCACTCTGGCCCATCAGATAACAATTGCTGACAGGCATCCAGAATTAATAGGCAATTTGAAGCTACTTCTGGCTCTTGTGAATGTTTCTGTTGGTCCTGTGTAATGGTTGCACAGCTCAACAGCAATTCCCTATGATATGCCAGGCTTCTTCTGGCAGCTTTAGTCACCAGGTAGGAGCTGCATTGCACAGAACTGATCCTGTTTATAGACTGTTTCCTGTGTTTCTACAGCTCTCCTGCCTTTGGGGGTCCCTGGGCTCTGTTTCTCCTGGAAGCAGCATGTCACAGGCTGTAGCAATTGTAGCAGCTCCAGAATGTTTGATTTCCCTGCAATACCTGTGCCACAGGAGAAGAGTTGGGTTGTACAGGCACTGCTGGCAGTAGGAGAGGATTTATTCACCCCATCCTTCTGTAAGATCACATTCAGCACATACTCTGCTACTTTATTTTACTTTTTTCCCCCCCCCGCCTTCTTCCAAGAGGTCTCCATGGTTTATAATGCCAGCACACCATGATTTAGACTTGCCTCAGTCAAGTTCACTTGGGGGCAGGAAGTGAAGCCCTTACTTAGGGATGTGGAAATCCTCCTTCCTCCAGTCCATTAAAGTCAATACAATTCCTCTTACTGAAAGTCTTCCCTGATTTGATATTATAAATGAAGTGTTCCTGGGAGCTATGGCAAGAGATTTGTGGCAGTAGTAATGCTAAATTTAATTTCCTGTGATTCAGTCTCAAACAAATGATATAGGGTTATTCAGGAGCCATTCGAAAGTCCTAAGCTGTAAATGTATTTATTAGCTCCACTACTGCTTCCAGCAGCCCAAGAATTCCACTTTGTGGAATTTTTGTCTGTTTTGCATTAGTGTATGAGCACAGATTACTGGGACTAGAACAATATTTGTGTTGCAAGTTGCCTTTCAGAAAAATCCAACTGAATAGTAAATGTGTTTAAAATGGGAAGGAAAAAGCAGGTTCTTGTATTTCAGTCATAAATACATACTTGGTGAAATATATGATAAATTGGGGAAAATATATATATTGGATGTAGGATGCCTGTAAGACTAATCTGAGGACAGAGGTGAGAGGAATTTTTATCATTATATGTTATTTTGTGCCTTTCCTGAAGCTGTTGTGGTATCAAAGAGATGATTTGATGCCCTCTTTGCTTGGCATGAGGTAACTGTGATCATGTCTTCCTCCTTGAACAGCCACAGCAGAGGCAAGCTGGGGAAACTCCAGGGAAGCTTAGGACAATCTTAGGAACAAGGAACTGCACAAAGGGACTCATTGTGCATGTTTGCATTTTGGGTAGGTATGTGAGGGCTGCCTGGGTGGGGGCAGGGATGAAATAGGGAATTAGGTGTGCATGAATCCAGCAGGACATGAAGCACTCTGAGGTAGCAAGAGCAGCCAGCCCGAGGTACCTGTGTGAGTTTGAAACAATCCTTGAAGGCTTCACAAGTGTTTGAACTTCAAAGGCAAATCACAAAGTGTGACTAAGGTTAGATGACAGTACAACTGTGAACTAGCACTAGCTGGCCACTCCTGTGGCCTTAAGTTGTGTACATGTGCAGAGTTCATCTTTCCTTTCCTTTCCTTTTTTTGTGGCTGCTCTCTGTCTGCTTAACTTTTCTGCACTGGCTTCCCCCTTTGATTTATTTTTTGCTTGTGTTACCCATCTCAAGAGTCTGAGTCACAGTAGTAATCTGTTTGAACTCCTACCTGCAAATTTCCTTGTTCTCAGTACATTTTCTGACACACAACTGATTCAGCTTCCCAGAAGGATCTGTCACTTGGGAAAGCAGAGCTTTCCTCTCTATTGCCAAGGTCTCTATCACTCTGACTATCCCTTGTCCCCCTTTAAAACCATCCACCAAATGATCACCCAGCTTTTCCAGAACCAGTTCATTAGCACAGTTTCTTTCTCTCTCTCACAGCTTACTTCCAGCACTTTGTTCAACACCCTTAGTTCTGCTGATGTCATTTAAGTTCTGGAGCTTCATCCTTTGACTCTTCTTGTGACACCTGCTCTCAGATCCCTAAAATCTTCCTATGCTGCTGTCATTGCTTCATGCAAGAGACTCTCCTACTCCGCTTCTGATGTACAAGGGGGAGTCTCTAAATACATCCACACTGCCACCCTTGGGGACAGTCTTGAAAGATTCTTCCTGGCTCCAGCAAGCCCCTCTGTTTGCTCTGACTTCTGCCTCTGGGCCACTGTCATGTGAATGAGTTAACCAGTCATGCAAAAATGTTTTCTGAGTTGAGTGGTAGATATCAGAACACCAATTAAGTCAGCTCTTCTCCCTTTCTTTTTGTGGAACAACATGTGAAGACTGGGAGAGTCTACAGCCTGTTCTGGCTGGGATGAGAAGGCACAAGGATGATTCCCATAAGGATTTCCTAAGGGAGCAGAAGATGGTCCCCCCTCAGTACTTGCTCTGCCGAACAACTTTTTCAGGGACTACTCACCAACATGGGTACATGATCCGAACTGATGCAGGAGATTGCCCCTGCTCCTGGCCAGGTTTGATTTTTCCCCTTGAACCCTAGGGGAAAATCTCTATAATCTCTACATAGATTTCTTCCACTTGCTCCCAGTGGCCCTGATGAATGCAGCCAGCAGCAAATGGTCTGTCTGTACCTTAACTCAGCAAGAGTTCCTCAGTGTGGTTCTTGCAGAGAGGAGGCCTGAAGAACTGGCTCTAATAGCATGGAACTTTCCCAGTTAATCTCAATGTCAGAACTCTGCCAGAAACACCAGCCTTTTTCTGCAGCTGATGTATCATGCACTGGTTATGTCTGCCCAGGCAGTGCCTGTTCCACCTATCAGGAAGAACTCACTCCACACACTGGAACAGATCCCCCAGAGAGACTCTCTCTGTCCCTCCCTGGAGATATTTAAGAACCACCTGGACACAATCCTGTGCCATGTGCTCTGGGATCACCCTGCTTGAGCAGGGAGGTGGGACCCGATAATCCATGGTGGTCGCTTCCAATCCAACCCATTCTGTGATTCTATAAAAAGGTGGGTTACCTTGTCCCGAAAGGAACCTGCAGGAGCTGGTGCTGTCCCAGAGCCTGCTCTGCACTCTCCCCCACCTCCTTTCCTGTACGTTTGAGCAGCCCCAGGAGCCCTAGTGCCCACAGGGGACCCCTGAGGACACCTTACTTCCCTTTGCCAATCCCCACCTGCTCAAGCACTCACTTCTTTTCTTGGCACACACACAGGATGGGATTCCTACTGCCATCCCCCTGCCGTTGCAGGGGGCACCAGCTCTGCCAGCACTCTGTGCTTGACCGGTTCCCAGTGCCTGGGTGCAGAAATGTCACCACTGCCACAGCTCTGTCTGGCAGGGGCCACCGCAGGCAGGCAGGAGTGGAGGCAGCTTTTCCTTCCTCCTCTGTTTGTATCCCAGCTGATGAGCTGCCCTGGCAGCCCCAATTCCTGCAGCATCATCCCCACAGCTGTGCCCACATCTCCCACACACAGAAGGTCCAAGCCAGGTTCCTTCTCATGAAAGTCTATTAAAGCAGGAGTGCAGGTTGAGGTGGCTACCGCGGCACAGCAATGGGGTGTGGTTCGCGTGGGAGGCAGCCGGGTGCTGCTGTGTCACCCCATCCAGGATGGGCAGGGCGCTGCCACCTCGTGGGGATGTCTCTGTGTCCCAGGTCTTCTGCACCCTCTTGGGAGCTGGCGTGTGCTTCTTCTGTTCCAGGCAGGGGCCGGGGGTCCCGGTGCTCTGTTACAGCGCAGGCAGGCGCATTGGCCTGGAAGCAAGTCCTGCAGGAGCCGGTGCACAGCCCGGGGGTCGCCAGGGTTGTGGCACAGGCCCCCTCACCAGACGACGGCCATTGATCAGGGGCAGAACTGTGTGGGGCTGAGCAGCCTGGGGCTGCCCACCCAGCTGACTGAGCTGTGGCAATCCCTGGCTCCTGGCAGAGGAACCCCGCGGTCGCCAGCGCCTCCTGCGCGCTTCCTGGAGCAGTGGCAACCTATCCAGGGGACGGACATCGATCAGAGACGAAGTTGCCTTGGGCTGAGTTTCCTGGGTGTGAGCTTCCTGAGGCTGAGCATCCTCGGGTTGCCCAACGAGGTGAAGGAGCCATGGCAGCTCCTGGCTCCCAGCAGAACTGCCTGGAGACTGACAGGAAGGACTCCTGGTCGTTTCCTGGGACGGTGACACAGGTCCGCTCTCCAGAGGACAGCTGGTGATCGGTGGCGAAGCTTCCTGGGGCTGAGCTTCCTGGGGCTGAGCTTCCTGGGGCTGAGCTTCCTCGGGCTGCCCGACCACCAGGTGAAGGAGCCACGGCAGCTCCTGGTCTCCAGCAGAGTAGCTTGGGGACTGTGGCAGTGCTGGAGGGTCAGACGTGGGCAGGCAGCAGCTGCTCTGCGGCCCCAGAGGAGACAGCTTTTCCCGTGCCTCTCTGGACCAGGGGACCTTGCTGGCTTTGTCCCCTGAGGGTGCAGAGAGCTGGGGAGCACTCGATGCAGTGGTGCGGAGCTTGTCCTGGGATCCATGCTTTGCCGGCTGGCTTTTCTTCAGGGAACAGCCTGTGACCAGCAGTTTCAGCCCCACAGTCAGACATGAGGCCACGGCTGCCTGCAGGGAGAAACAACGGGCAGTGGGGGCTCGGGGTGCCTGCGGTGTGGCTGTCCCCAGCCCCCAGCCTACCTCCTTGTAGAGGAGCTCAAAGGCACCAATGGAACAGGTGGGGTTGTCCTTGCGGTCGAGCACGAGGCGCAGCGTGTCCCGCTGGACGTTGGCGCAGAGCCGGCGGGTCACCGCCGAGGAGGGGCTCATGGTGGGGCAGGAGTTGATCTCCAGCAGCCAGGGCCGGAAGTCTTCCCCGATGAGGAAGTCGGCTCCGAAGAGCTCAAAGCTGCCCTTGCGGGAGCCCACCTGATCCCGGGCGCAGCGCAAGGCGTTCAGGATCCCCGCCTTCATGCCGGGCACCATCACCCGCTGCCAAGCATCTGCCCGCCCCAGCTGTGCCAGGTGTGCCTGGAACTGCTTGTTGGACCAGATCTTGTCGTGGGGCACGCGGGGGTCCGGCTGTAATGTTTTGTACCGCTTCTGGATGGAGACGTTGCAGAGGTGCCTGGCACTGGGGCAGGGAGAGCGGGGCTGGGTCAGGGGGTGCCGTGGGGCTGGGCAGTGCGAGCCGGGGGTGAGGGGGGACACTCACGGCTCCAGGTGATACAGGGAGAAGGGCTGGGAGCAGAAGCGCAGGTAGCATTCTCGGTAAAACCAGACAGTCAGTGGCTTCCAGTCAGTCACCACGAACCACTGCCGGATGTCGAATTTGGTGTTGAAGACGGTCAGCGGCCGCTCCACGTACTTCTGCACCACCCACTCGCACACCCGCGCCGAGGGCTTCGTGCAGCTCTTCGCCAGCTCCAGCACCTCCTCCAGTCGCGTCGCGCAGACGATACCTGGGTAACGCAGTGATGGTGGGATCCCTGCTCCGTGGGGATGTGTGCGCCCCGTGCTTCCCCCAGCCTTACCCCTGCCGCAGGATGTGTGTGCCCCATGCTTACCCCTGCCGCGGGATTTGGCGCTGGGCTTGAGGATCCAGATGTTGAGGTTGCCCTCTATGCCGAGCTGCGGCAGCTGCTTCTCCAGGCGCTGCAGCAGGTCCTGGCACTGCTTCCGCTGCTCCCTGCTCAGCACCAGCCTGGTCCCTTCACTGTGGGGGACACGGAGGGCTCAGCACCGGCCCCGCCACCTTTCCCCCCTGCCCCCGTCTCGCCCGGCACTCACTGTGCCACACGGTAGTACTCCTGCAGGAAGCGGTCCCAGTCGATGCATGTCCGGCAGGGTGACGGGGTGTTCCTGTCGATGTCCTGGTGCCCCAGGATGCCCAGGTGCTGCTCACAGACCTCCAGGGCCTCCTCCAGCAGCTGGGGATACAGGGGGGAGCACGGCCCTGCTGTGGACAGCATGGGGTGAGTGACATGATTCCTACACCAGCCTTGGGGCCGAAGCATTGAGCCTCCCTGTGGGATGGGTGCCTTTGGAGCTAGGGCAGGGAGGGAGTAAGGGTTCCCAAGCCACATGCATGAGCAGAGGCTCGGCCCCCAAGCTCAGCCCTCAGACACACCCTTAACCCTGAACTCCCTGTGTCATCCTCCGCCTCCGCCCCCTCAGCTCCACGCACTCACCTGGCACCTCGTCGGATTTGGGGGGCTGCTCTGTCCCCACTGGCCTGTCCCCGACCTTCTGCAGGGCTAGTTTGAGCAGGCTGCGAGCCGCAGTGAGGCGGAAATCCTCTGCAAGAGGGAAGCATTGTCCCTAGCCAGTCCTGCACAGGACATAGGAAGACTGGAGCGCGAAGGGTGACAGGAGGGCAACAGCCCCAGGCTCACCAATGAAGGCTTCCTGCTCGTCCTCGATCCCCAGCCGGTAGCACCGGGGGAAAAAGGTGTTGAAGTCGACTTGCTCGAACCAGGGCAAGTTTTGCAGGCTTTGGCACAGCCCCTCCTGTTTAAAGAAGCTTGTCGTTCCATTCTGGACACCCCCACACCCCTTGTGCCCCTCTCCCTGATGCCTCCGTGCTCCCACCTTGGTGCAAAGCGCGTACAGCCGCGGATAGCGGTTCACCACCTCAATCCTCGGCAGCAGCTTCTGGTCAATGGTGCTAAGGCGAATGGTCCAGAGGAAGTTTGGCACCTGGTCCTGCACTAGGAAGGACTGCAGGAGGGAGTGAGCTGGGGTGAGCCAGGGAGCCCCCATCCTATCCCAGCCCTTTGCCCCAGGCTGTCCCCTGCCCCTGAGGGTCCCAGGGAAGGACATGGGGAGCTGTGGCAGAGCTCAGCCCTAGCCCTCTTAGCTAACCATGAGCTCATGGATGTCATCAGAGTCCTCACTGCACTCCTCTTTGTCTTCATCCTCCCTTTCCTCCCTGTTTTCCTTATCGCATGGCCATGGGTGGTGCAGGGGCTCTGTGGTGCCCAGGGAAGGCTGTGCCCCACCACGTGGGTTCAGCACGGCCTCCCCCTGCTCATCCCCACTTGTCCTCTTCTCCGGCTGCTGTTTCTTTTGGTCGCCAGGCTGCCGCTTCAGCTGTTTGCCATTGTGGGGCAGCTTCCTCTCCACCCAGCCCCGGGCACGCAGCAGGCGGCGGATGACGGGATAAGGGCCCTGCACTGCAAAGATCTTCTTCTCCTGTGGGGAGAGCAGCGAGCTCAGCCTGCCCCACCGCAGTCCTCTGGCTCAGCTCTCCTGAGCCACAGGTGCACAAATGCAAGCATGTGGCATCTCGGGGCAGTGTGAAATCAAACCCTCACCTTAATGGCCTTTTCCACGTGCAGCCTGGCCTTCCTGAACCGCTCAGACTCAGCCGCGTGGTAGCGGCCATCGCGGTAGTCGATGTTGACAGCTGCCACCTGCCCTGTGAGGACAGCCCCACCTGAGCCCACTGTCCCCATGTCCCCATGCCCACGGGACAGGCAGGGAGGGGGAGAACATGCTGACCTGTCTGCCTCTGCCTCACCAAGTCTGGGGCTTCTGACATGGCATTCCCTGACCTGCCAAGCCTTCTGCCAGCATCCCCGCTGCACTCGGCAGCTTTGGGATGCCCCGCTGGTCCTTTGTCCTTGGCCCAGGGGCAGCTGGGATGTCACCTACTCAAGTATTGCCCCTGGCTGAGGGGCTGTGTGCCCACAGTGATGCTCTCTGTGTCACACTGTCCCAGGCTAGTCTGATGGTGAGAAGCTGTGGGTGGCTCTGTCTCCTCCAGGCCAAACAAGTTTTCCTATTCCCCCATCCCTTAGGGACTGCAGTGGGTGTCCTGCACAGGACACGGCCTCCTAATTCCATCACCACTGTGATGCCACAATGCAGGATGCTCAAAGAAGCCTCAGCATCACAGGTCCTGGTCTCCCCTCTTGTGAGGGACTTTAACTACCCTCACAGCTGCTGGAGAAGCAACACAGCAAAGTACAGACAGTACAGGAGGTTTCTGGACAGTTTTGATGATCCCTTCCTGATACAGGTAGTGGAGGATCCCACAAGGAATGGTGTGCTGCTCAACCTTACACTAAGAACCAGAAAAACCTCATTGGACATATGAAGGCTGTGAACTGTCCTAAGTAATCTCCATGAGAGAGCTCTGCCAGAAGCACAGTTTTACCTTACAGTATAATTTCTGACTGCTGCTTGATTTTATTTTGATGGCTACTGTTCAGCAAATTGCCCCTTTGCTTCTCCTTCTTTCAGAAATGCAGTTTCATTTACAATTGTTCACGGGCTCCTTGCCCACACTGCCTTCTATGACTTAACTGAAGCACTACCATTTTTGCTATTTACAATCATCTGCAGCCAGCAGAAGTTTTATGCTGACAGATAAAAAACACACACTGGTCATTCAGTGTTGTTTCACTCTGATTCTCCCTGAGGGATCTATTAACAAGAACCTCAGTTACCTGGCCTCAGAGCTGGGTCATAATGTTAAACTGGCATCACAGACAGGGTCCCTTGGCTGTGGTGGAGTGATTGCTGGGGTCCAGACCTGTTGGAACCACCTTCTCCAGGAGAAAACTCTGGACAACCCTCAGAGGGTCATTATTGGTGAAAGCTTTGCAGCTCTCAGGAATGCTCACAGGTAGCTGCTGAACCAGAAGTGGTTCAGAGGGGATGGAAAATGAATCCGTTGCTTCAACTGGTCCTTCAGAAGGTGATGGAGCAAAAGAAATCTCTTAGAAAGAAGCTAGAAGCAAAAATTTCGGAACAATGAATGTGACATCAATTTTGGATGCCCCAGAAGAGTGTTTGTTAATAACTCCTTCTGGCAAGTTGGAAGATCCTGGGAAAAATTACCTGGAGGACGAAGAGATACGTATTCAGGTTGGACATTAGGAGGAATTTCTTCATGGAAAGGGTTAACATTGGAATAGGCTGCCCAGGGAGGTGGTGGAGTCACTGTCCCTGGAGATGTTTAAGGAAAGACTGGATGTGGCACTCAGTGCCATGGTCAGGTTGACACAGAGGTCACAGGTTGGACTCGATGATCTCAGTGGCTTGGAACTCTGCAATGCAGATCTCCATTAGCACTCCCTAAGAGACCCCTCCTTCATCTGAGAGATAACAACAGTCTGTGGGAGATGTGGCAAATGGATTACAGATTATTATATAGAGATTATTATCCTTTCAAGAAATCAGAAGAAAAACAATATGTGCCCATTGGGGTGGAAGCAGTTTCAGGTCTCGTGTGCACTTTGGCAAATGGATGGGAGAACATGAAACAGGTACACCAGGAAAGTGATGGTCCTGGTGTAAATTCTGAACTCTGTTGCTTCTACAGACAACTCAGAACATTGCTTAGCTAATTACTGAATGCCATGTTCATATCTACATATTTAGAATAGAAGGGTAATGTATCTTCCCGGAAGAAGTTTTGTGCTGGGGTAAGGAAAGCCTTATAAAGCCACACCTTTAGAAAGGACACGTGTGTGTCACAACAGTGACTATTCCATGAAGTATACTGAGCTAGCTCCAAGACTTAGAATCACATAAGGATAAATCTTTTTCCAGACTAAGCCCTCAACAAAAGATTGTGTGTAAGCGACATAATCTATAGACAATAAGCTTGATATTATTTTCTTTTACAGTAACTGAGACGTATTTACTGAGTACTGCATGATTCCTTCCTTGCAAAGGAGCAGCCTTTTACATCTTTGTCTCCTCAAAATATATACTGAAGTAGCTTCTTCCAGATGCTGTGCTTAGTCAAATTTTCTATTGAAGAGAGTTGCAAAATCTTCCATGTGACCATAAAGAGCAGCATGTTCACGGAGTAATTCTTGCTTTTCTGCAAGCTCTATTGCTGTGGCATCAGGACTCCATATCTACAAAACAAAATTATTTGTAGTTAATTTGGATGGAACTTTTGCAACAGAAACACTAAGAAGATACTGTTAGTCAAAGAGATCCGTGTTGTAGAACTGCTTCCCACTATGAGACATAGAAAAGAAGCAGTGTGGCCTCCCAGCAGAAGACAGGTCAGCCATCTGTGTGTGTATAGACAGAGCATTCTCTTGTCACTTCCAAGCTATAACATGCCATGGACTCTGGTTACAGATAATGTGGGAAAGAAGATCTTAAGGTAATTATTCAAAATTATTGACTTGGGCTCACGATCCTCAGTAGAAGATACTAATTAGCTGTAGAGTCATCAGCTATGTAGCCTCAGTCCTCTGAGACCATAGTAGAAACTAGCACAAATCAGGGTTAGGGAAATGATAAACAAACTGCAAACACTGCTGCTCAGCCAGCAGTGGTGTTCTTTCCCTTTGCAAGGAGAAAAAAATATTACAAAAATTACCTCACTATGATTATCTTGTTCTGTTTCTCAGTTATTTCTAAGCGGGTATTAACAAGACCCTGACAGAAAAGTTACATTTCCACTATTCTGACTCTAGGAAGCAAATATTTAGTGTGCTGTTATCCATCTAGTTCAGTAACTGTTACTGACACAAGTCATCATGTGATAACTAATCAACAGGGCAAGTTAGAAGTTGGCACCCATGCTATGCAAATAGATTCCTATCTTTTAAAAGCAGGAATATAAAAATACATATCATAAATGTAGTTGCATTTTTATTGTACTGTGGCTCCACTTTAATCGTATTTGAAAACCTGATAAGAGCTTGATTTCCATAAATATATGTGTTAGTATATAATACACATCCATGAACTCTTTAATTTACTGTTGTTTGGTGGCAACCTCTCCAGGCTGTGTCACATCATCTCTAAGCTAATTGAACGGTGGAAATTTCACTGGATTGTTCTGGGTTTTGATCTCAGCAAGGTCTGCCTTTAAGTCACCATGAAACTGCACTCATGTTTTGCTGCCATACATACTTTTCTGGGCCTGAAGGAGATGTCGTTTTTGTTTTCTCTCGTTGCCAAAGATTTCCAATAAGCAGAACTGTCCTTACGGGAACACTTTGTCTTTTCAGGAACAGGGTTTTCCTCAGGTGGCTCAGATACATCTTCAGACTGAAGGGGAAGAAGGTACCAATTATACCAATATGTCATGTTCAGAAGCAAGGCATGCATCCTGCATCTTCTGATACTCTGCTACAATGTTTACTGGGGGAGCATTTTTCTTTATCTCTTCAGAATCTGTTTTTCTCAAAGCTGATTTTTAAAAATCAGAAATTGCAAGAGCCAACTTTTTGAAAGGTAAAAGGCACCTCTCCTCCTTGGGCACTAAAACATTAACTGCTCTTTATGACTCCCAAGACAGTCACCTTGTACCACTGGTGATCCCATCCTCTTCCAAGTGAGGAATAAACAAGCACCTAAGGCTGTCATCCTCCTGCCTCTGAAAGCCCTGTGCTGTCCTTGACATTCAAAACCATTGTGAAAGGGGGATGCCAACATTTAGCTACTGAGACATATTTATTGCACTCTCTAGGGCAGCTGAAGGACACTTCCAGCCATGCAGATGCAATTGCATCTTCTCCCTAAATAGCATCCTGGATGTGACTAACAAGTACCACGGGTGAATCAGGAAGGTCTCATACACAGTTGGAGAACCCAGATGTGGTCAGTGAGGCTGATGTCAGCTTGGGAATAGGGCAATGCTGAGGTGCTCAAGGCTCCCAGAGGGTGCAGGAAAAGCATTCAGAAATAAAACAGGCAAACATCAGTGTGGGATTTGAAATCAGAATTCAGGTAAATAGTGGAAGAGGAAAGATAGGGGACAAAATGGAAAATAGGAAGTTAACAAGCCTGGTATTGTCTCAGTGAGTTCAACTAGGAGAATAAAAAACCTTTTTACCAGGTTGAAGGGTATTGTTCTTATCTTGTGAAAAAAAATTTTCTCCCTTTAAAAAATTATGGTTACCAGTTGTTCAGTTTTTACCACAACAGAGCTGGATGAGCATATACTTCAGGAGGAGGGAAAAAGAAAAGGAAATATTTTTCTGTGTTCTGTCAGTGATACAGAGCATCATTCTTATGCGTGTCTGGGGAACACATGAAGTTTGTATAATTAGAAAGACAAATTTCAACCAATGAACAAGTTCCAATACTCACAAGAACAAGTACTGACATCTGAAAATACTCACTTTAACAAAGCTGCCCGAGTTACAGCGTTAGAGAGAAATGGGTGGCAAAGAAAGGAAAGAAAGAAGCTCCCTGCTAACTACGAGGAAATCAGTCCTTTGTTACCATCTCTCATACCTCTTCTTTCACAGGTTTCGGTGGCTCTGCTGGTTTTGGCTTCCCACCTTTTGCTAGCATTGCTTCTTCTTTTTCTTGTTCTTCTGCCAAAATTTGCAGTTGATTTTCGAGCAGTTCAATTATTGTATCATTTTGAAATACTTGAGCAAGATCAAGAACACTCTTTCCTGTATTTAAAAATAATAAATATCTGTGGAAACGATGAAAATTAACTTTGGCACTGGTTTATTGCAACTGGACAATCAACTGAATTTAATATGGGCAGTATTTTGTTACCTATGTTAGAGCAAGAGCTTGAAAGGAAATGCATGCTAACTTTTAAAT